GAGGCGGGGGTGGGGTGGGGCGTGGGGGCCCCTCCGCCGGTCTTTCCCCAGCAGAGCCTTGCAGCAGCCGAGCGAGGAGGTCGTGGGGGAAACTCCGGGACCCACGCAAAGAGAGAGCGGGTGAGACCCAGTCTTTCGAGGTAAGATTTCAAGGAAATGTGCCTGCGATAGCCGGGGCCTCGGAGTCGGATACCCTCACGCACCTCTCCCGGGTGGTTCTGATGCGGATTTTTGAGACCAGCGGCAGCTAGCATTCTGGAGCTAGCTTTGCACCTCCTTCTCTCTGGGTTCTAATCCAGATTGTGACACCCCTCTGTGCACCAACACTAGAGGTGTTCCTGCACCTCTCAGGCCCCTACCCACAAGCAGCAGAACACAGCCCCCACTCCCTCTGAGCCCACTCTCCACCCCAAACCCCAGGCCAGCTGGCGGCCCTCCATCTGTGTACATTTTCCGGACTTATGGACCAATCCCACCAGCTCAGCCAGAGGTGTAATACAGCTCTACTCCTCTCCAACCCCCGGACAGACACTAACACCTCCCACCCACAGACTGGGCTACTAGACCCCCTTTCCCTGACCAGGGGTTACTCAGGTCCTCTCAGGGCAACATCCCAGATTAGCTCAGAAATGGAGATGGAGCATTAGAGGGAAGGGGCTGGCCAGGGAAGATTGGAGTTTGAGTTAATGCTGAAGTGGATCCTCAGCCAAGTCTGACAGGAGGTAGGCAGTAAGATCCCCTAGCTCTGCCATCTCTCTGAAGAATAGCATGAAGTTTTTCTTCAAAGGATTTTCAAATTCTCATTCTTAGCCCACTTGTGACCACCTTCCCCACTCCATTCAGAGAAGAAAATTTGGAAGCAAGATGGAGGGGGGTGGGTAGCCTGACAGGGGCTTTTCTACTCTGCCCACTGGACCACAGGATCTCCCATACAGGGAGGGAGTGATGAGGGTGATGATATCACGGCTAACTGGCATTTCAACTTTTGAGCATCTCTGAGCTGACAGTTCTCTGCACAGATGCTGGGAGGCCTAATCCCTGCATGTCCTTGGGTCTCCTTGAGAAGGAGTGTTCTTAACCAGCTGTCAGCCCTGCCTGCCCTGGTATACCAGGCACATGAAAAGACTTCCATTTAACTCACTGCTGTGGGCTTCTGTGTCCAGCAGGGAGCTAGTCTGCCCTGCCCCAGCTTCAGGAAGTCAGCCCAAACAGGCTTCCCAGGGACCCATGGTAGGGGCATCCCCTTCTCGAGGAACCAGCCCTCTCCTGGCCACCAAAATCTTGGTCATGTCCTCACTTTTGGCCCCATGGCCCATGAGCTCCCATCAACCTGAGCACTTATTACACAGTGCCGTCTGTGTCCCCTTCAGGACTGAGCTCCCTGAGGAGAGGACAGTTCTGACTCATCTCAGGAACCTCAGCACTAACACAAGGGTGGCAGAGAGCAAATTAATAAATGTCAAATCTATGTATGGGTAGAAGGACCCTGGAAGTTAGCTAATGCCATGGAAGGGGGTCCTCAAAGGAGGTGGAGGATATGATCAAAGTTCTGCTGCCACAGGCTGACCAGGGGTCAGGGCCCGTTAACTTCTCCTCCTCTAGCACCTCACCTACCCTCAGTTTGGTCAGCACTACCCATTCAGGACCATCTAGGACCACCCTTGGTGCAGAAATGACCACTAGGTAAAATAAGCACGCAGTAACCCCTAATGAATCCTGACCTCTCTTTGTCTACTCTCTGAAAACTGAAATAGGGGACAGCTGTGGCATGCCTGCAGTCTGGGGAACAGGGAAGGAGGAGACCCAGGTCTTACCCTGATGGACTCTAAGTTGTGGGGAATCTAGACTTATCTAGACCCAGTAAAGAGGAGAAAACTCAAGACAGGAAAGAAGTGTGTACTAAATCATGCCTCACCCTATGAGAGATTTGAGAAGGGGGACCTCGCTGAGCTTGGGGTAACTAGGGAGGACTTCCTAGAAGAAGAGGTCATATTTGGCAAGTGAAGTGCATCCAGCACTTCATTTGCAAACTACATTAGCAAATTTTGTGGACCAAATATGGTAACAGTTTTACAATTTCTCATGGTTCAACCTAATATTCTTACTCCCACTTGCAAGCAAAAGAACCAAAGCACAGAGATATTAAGTAACTTGACAGATGTCCCACAGCAAGAAAATGGTGGAGCTGGAACTTCAACCTAAGGCTCCCCAGGCCAGGTTCTCCTCTGTTGCCCATTTGACTCACCCAGGTGGGGTGAGTGTAGGCACAGGTGAAGGAGGGAGAGGCAGTTCAGTCTGGCATGGCTAAAGCAGAAAGAAGGTAGATAATGAAGCCTCCCTGTTCTGTGTTCTCCCCATTGCCCTACCCAGGTCCCAGGTCCTCTCCTTTCTAGTGCTGCTGAAAAAGCCTGAGGTCTGCTCTGGCTCATCTGGTAACTCAACCCCAGCAAGGAGAAGGCCCTGCCTCTGGACTGAGATAGGGAGAAGACCTGCAGCTCTCAGCTTTAGTGGGGAACTGAGTACCTGCAGGAGACAGATGTGCTTCCTGCAGGGCTGCAGAGGGTTTGCATGTTCTTGGAATGCAAACCCAGAAAAGATCTGGGTCTAAGAGAGAAGGGTTAGGGAGGATGGGCCTCCTTCCCTGGAAGTCATATTCAGAAGACCTGCTGGGAGTGGAGTGCGTATGTGGCTGATTGTTATATATCAACCTTAGACCTTATTTGGTGGGGACCTAGATGGGGAGAGGATGGTGGGAAATTCTAGAAATATTATTGCTTGTGGGCCAAGGGCATTGTTCTTGCTTACAGGGGCAGCTCTGGTATAGGGCAGTGGCTCCCACACCATGTAATGCCAAAGCTTGGACTAATTCTGCTTGAAATTTAATGAGAGAAAGAGAGAGGGGAAAAAGAGAGGGAGAGAGAGAACAATATGGGATATTTTGGGGTAAGATTGTCAACTGTCCTTTCTTAGAAGGCTGTCTTTATTCTAACATTATATCCTTGGTGCATTTTCTGTGTTAAAGCACCATTTTATGAAATCATAATGCTAAGAGATGGCATTTTTTAGGTCCTTGGCTAAATAAAAAGTTGGTGTAGGGTTCTGTGTTCCCAAAAATCATTTATATATATATATATATACTTATTTCTTTGAAAAAGAGAGAGGAAGGGAGAGACAGACAGGCATCAATTTTTTCCTCTTATTTATGCATTCATTGGTTGTTTCTTGTATGTGCCCTGACCGGGGATCGAACCTGCAACCTTGGTGTATCCCAAAAATCATTTTTGAAATGTTATTGATCTGTGAATTCCAAAAGTCTGGGAGCCCCTGCTGTAAACAATTGAGCATGAGACAGGCAAACAAAAGCTCTAGAATTAAATATTTCTCTCATGTACTGCCATGT